TCACAGTACGGAGATCGTACCTAGAGGTAATTACGTTGGATGGACAAACAGACAAGTTCTATCTATGAACGCCTCCAGTATTCCCCCTACAACATGCATGATATCTAACTACGCCTTTCCACACCCCAATCCGTTACCGCGATTGGGCTAGTCGCGCTTGCCCCCACTAGATGCTGTCAGTGAGTATAACATCAAGAGCTCTCGATGACCACTAGCTATGAGTGTCAGAAGAGGCGAGAACGATGATTCCAAAATGAGCATTCAACGCTACCCTGCACAGAGGTCGCCAGGTTGGAGCACGCCACCTAGGTGGGACCGCACCGTGATGATCTCCGGATCCCCCGCTGCTGCCTCTCCGCTGTTCTCGGTACCTGACCACAGCCACATGAGCATCTATGACACGGTGTAACTCGCCTCCTACGCATAAGCTCCAGGTCCACCATAGTATAGGCCTTCTGGCCTCGTCTGTTGAAGGTGGTGGCAGCTCGCGCTCGACTAGTGTCCTCCTCGACGTTGAGGACAGTGAACTCAACCAAGTGTCGGCGAGTCAGGAGAGGCTCGAAAGGGTTCTTCCAATACCTGATGTAACGACAGGGTGGCGTGGAAGAATACAGGAGCTGCTACAGCTTACTCAATGCCTGCTAGATCAGACACCCTCCCTGTGAGAGGATCCACCAGGCGAATCTGGCTTGAGACCTACAGGAGGGAATGCGACGTGGTAATACGTCGTCAGTGAATCACTCTCACCTTAGTAACGACCTGGATCGGGTTCACACCGCCAAGCTTGTTCTTGAGGGCCTTGGGTAGGAAAACAACATCATCCTTGCACACTGGGCACATGTCGATCAGAGTAGTGTATTTGTAGTTGTATCTAGTCTCACATTAGCGAGTACTCCAGAGCCTTGACATTGACCTACGTTGTATTGTGAGAATCATGACTAATAAGGTGCTTACTCTGCTTCACTCTAGAAGGGACCTGAGACCACCACAGTAAACTGCCGTTATTGAGGCCCTTCTTACTTGACTCAGGACGAACTCTGAGAACTTCTGGGCATGGCTCCGATGACCAAAATGGAAGTCCAGGCCATCGGGGGTCCTCTTGATACCAACAACCTTCTCATGAGCATCATGTTTCAAGATGAGCTGCTCTAGGTAATAGAAAGTCCTCTTGTGATCTGTCTTCTGTCGGACCTGGACCTACAACACCAACAGGGTAATAAACCATACAGGGATTCCTTTCATGTACTAATAAAAACCTAAACACCCTTCAACATGTGTGTTATTCGATTGAGTCAGGAGTATTCAGATATAATCATATACATGTATTAATGATAAGCAGGTCGAGCCCCCTTATACCGAAGCGTTCCAAGTGTGCGGAGTGTAGGTTCGTTTACAGTCATCACACTGCTGCCAGGCGACCTAGAAAGGAATCCTTGCAAGACCCGGACAAGATCTGTAGGGCTTACGATGAAGTCAACAATCATAGATTGCTGCATGATGGCGCCGTTCATGACCTCCTTCTGAACGGTCAACTTCACCTTCATGCGCTTACTCGTGGGAGCTTGCCAAATCTGAACAGCATGAAACGCATATAACACCTCAGACAAGCGGTTTGGTCCTTCTCACAAAGTTGGCGTCAACCAGCTTGACCTTGTTGAGCCCCTTGATTTTCTTGAGGCATATCCCTAGCAGCTCGCGAGACTCCGGTTCACATGGCACCCACGGAGGACGCTGATACCTACCGCCAGGATCATATACTTCACATTGTCACACACAGGCCAAGTCCTCGCGAATTTCTCACCGATTGCATTCCCGACAGTAGTTCACCACGGCCTGCTTAGAGATACCCTCAGTGATGTCCACCTCCCCCTTCATGCAGTTGACACACATATTGGACTGGTTGGGTGCCATGGACGCACCACAGACACAGCATAGAACCTACCCGAGTTGAGAATAGCCAGCAAGCACGGACTACATATGAGAGTAACTCACGTTAGCATATCGAGGCATTTGGTGTTTGGTTGATGTTGGTTGAGCCACACTAGAGTTGAAGGATCTCTTACGGGACATCTACCAACAGCTGCTACCGCCACGAACATTCCTCATCGATTACGACAACGCAAATAGCCATATTTGAAACAGGTGCTCAATAGTAGACGACAAAGCTAAAGGTCACCAAGACCAGCGTCCGGGTAGGTGAGGCGATAGAGACCACCAGTGGTCCTATTGTAAATTATGATTCTACATGTAACACATGATGGAACACGACCACAG